TATATCATTGCCATTGAGCCTTTTCCAACTCATAGCATCCGTACAGGACAGAGTAGAACTGTCCCATAAGGTTTCCAAGATCTTTTCGGAATCAGACTGCCATCTTTCACCTGTGAAGCCACTAATAGGTTTGAAACGCCAACCTTTCTGTTAGCACCTGAGTGCTTTAACCACTGCACCACCAGGGCTCCCTTAAAATATGTAAGTGGCTGAAAATGAATTAGAAATTTAAAGTAAAAAAGTAGTAGGGGTCTAACTAAATGGTATATGGAAAAGGCATAAACAGAGACAGTGAAAAGATGAGTGATTGTCAAGAGTTCCAGGGTGGAAAGGAGGAAGGGATAAATAGAGCACAGGGCACTTTCAGAGCAGTGTAACTATTCTGTATAAAGCGTAATAGCAGACACCTGACATTACGTATTTCTCAAATCTTATAGAACTGTGCAACACAAAGAGTGAACCTTAATGTAACTCTGGACTTGAGTTAATAATGTGTCAATATCAGTTCATCATTTGTAACATATGTACCACATGAATGCAGAATGTTAATAATAGGAGAAACAGTGTGCAGAAAAGAGGGGTAACATGGAAACTCCATACTTTCTGCACAATTTTTATAGAAGTCTCAATTTGCTCTTCAAAACAAAAGTCTATTACATCGAGTCGATTTGACTCATAGCAACCCCTCCTTGGGTTTCAGAGGCAGTATCTCTACGGAAGTAGATTGCCCAATCTTACTTCCAATTTTAAAAATAGTAGGGAAAAAATAGAAAAAGAATATGAAAAAGTATTAAAAAATGTTTGAAGACATTATTCGTAAAACTTCCTCATGGTGTACTTATCAACATATGAAAAATTGCTGACTGGAAGTATTTATTTTTGTCGGATAGTTCCATTCATTCTCCACCTAGTTGCCTTTGACTGCATCATCTACCAACATAGGATCTTAGCCTGGGGCCTGGTGGTACCCTACTGAAAGAGTTGCAAAAAGGAGGAGATACTCCTGTTCTACCTTGGGCTATCCATATATCAGCCCCCCAGCTTCCACCCCTAACTGTAGTCAGAAGTCCCCATCAGGCTTACCGGGCTCCTGGGAGCTGTAGGATCCTCAAGGACCCTCGCAACACACTTTGAGTCTCAGGCCCGCCAGAGGGGTCAAGACCTGAGCAGGACATGGTGAGAGTCAGCAGAGAACAGGCCCTGTGCAGGGGAGAGTGGGCTCAGGCCAGATGCCTAGAAGGTGGAGGGGTGACAGGTACCCTCCTGTCCTCACCTGCCCTCACTCTCTGCGACCTGCAGATAGAGCTCTGAGGCAGCTCTTGGGTCAGACACCTCCACTTCACTGGCATCTTCCACTATCCTGGAGGAAAGAGAGGCTGAGTTCAGCTCCAAGCACCAAGGTTCTGTGTTGTCCCCTAGAACTTCTCCACAGAGAACCTGTGGAAGTCCCCAGAGTCTGTAAGAATCATCCCAAAGGCTACACACTCAGGAAATCCCTAAGGCCTCTCATCTTCACAATCTTACTTTTCTCCTCTCATCTATTCAGTGAGAATAAGAGGGTAGCTGAAGTTTCCCCCTTTTACAGATAATGAAACTAAGGTCTTGCTCAGCGCGAAGCCCAAGATCGCCCAATGTGAGAATGACTGAATTGGGATGGGGGAATGAGGATAGAGTTGAAGAGATTTAAGTGGATGGGGTAAGAGGAGTGGGAGGGATGGGGATATGAAGAAGAGGGTGGGAGGGGGTCCTAGGAATAGATCCAAGCCCTGCAAACAGGCCCCAGGTTCACCCCAGGCTGGTGATGAGCAGAAAATTCCAGGAGTGTGGCTTGGGAGGTGTCAGCAGCCCTGCCTCAAAACAAGACTTTCAGTTCCTGGTGGGCTCTGAACACTCACAAGCCCAGAGGAGGCACTTCCAGCACCGACAAGTTCTCTGCCCCTGGAGAGAGCAGGTCTCGAGCCCTCCCACTGGAGCTAAGCTAGGGTAACAGAAGCACAATTGTTACAAACCCAGACCCCCACCACCACCAGCACCACCACCACCTTCCCTGCCTCCAGCTCATATATTTCCTCCCGATCAGGGGGCCCTAAGGGCCAAATGGTGCATGAAGAATTCAGGCATTTCACTAGGAAGAGGAGGCCCCAGGGAGGCAGCTGGTGAGCAGCAAAGTGGGACTCAAACCAAAAAAAAACCAACATCTCTGCCATTGAGTCGACCCCAACTCATAGCGACCCCTCCTTGGATTTCTGAGGAGGTATCTATACAAAAGTAGATTGCACAATCTTCCTTCAGAGGAGTTGCTGGTGCTTTTGAACTGCCAGCCTTCTGGTTAGCAGTCAAATGCCTTAGGTTGCCACCAGAACACCTAGAGTGGAACTAGACTTCAGCTATTCTGGCTCCCCATAAGCCTCTATCTCCCTGCAAAGTCACCCAGGCCCTGGCCCCCAGGGCCATGATCTCCCCTCCCCCAGAGATCTCACCTGTACCAGGCAAAGAGTACTGAGCACTTGGTTAGAGTCCCTGAGGGGCAGAGCTTTCTCAAACAGAACGTGCAGCAGCTAAAGGGAAGAAAGGGGTTGAATGGGGAGAAAGAATTAGCCCCTCTTCAACATTTCCTGAGGGAGCTCTGGTGGCACAGTGTTTAATGCATTGACTAAACATTCAGTGGTTCAAATCCACCAGCATAAGATGAGGCAGTCTGTTTCCATAAAGCCTTGGAAACCGTATGGGACAGTTCTACCCTGTTATAGAATCACCGTGAGTCAGCATCACCTGGATGGCAGTGGTTTGGTTTGGTTCATCATTTCCTGAGGACCGTGCTGGACCCTGTGTTGGGTGCTACAGTCATGGTTCCCAAGACAGTAGCCCTCATGATTCACAGGGAATGAGAAAAGTGGGCAGATATTTTCAGTGGGACCTATTTGCTAGGACTGTTCACTGTTGGTCAGGGACCCCTGATAAGTTTCTCAGGCAGCTGTTTTGATTTGGGTACATTTTGATGAAGCTCCAAAACAAAACTTTCAAATTTATGGTCATTATTAGTATGAACAAGAACTGTGAAAATTATGCCTCCCTGGACATTTGGGGCAGTGGTTAAAGCATTTGGTTGTTAAGTAAAAGGGCAGCAGTTCAACATCAGCTGCTCCATGGGAGAGATATGAGGCAAATCTGCTTCCATAAAGATTTACCTATGGAGGGAAAGACATGGATGACACTGCTAAAACCCTATGGAGGGAGTTCTACTCTCTCCTATAGGGTCACTATGAGTCTGAATCGCCTGAATGGCAGTGGGTTAGGTCTTCGTTTTGGATATTTGATCTTTTTCTCCACCCCTTACTGACTCTGACTCCATTGGCTCCAGCCTCCCCTGTCCCCTAACTTCCCAATAGCTGCATTTATTGGCCCTGACAAAGCAGCCTGCATGAACTACAGGACACTAATGGAGACCCAAGGAGGGGCATCTAGTCTAGCTGTGGAGGGGAGAAAAAGTTTCCCAAAGGTCTCCTTGAGGAGAAAATACCTGAGTTGAGCCAAATTGTGTCTTAGTGGCTCTTCTAGGACTCACCTGTGGCACAAGCCGAGGTGCCTTGGTTTCCCAGCCCTGGAGTAGCAGGGCCACACTGTACCCATGGCACACAGAGCCCAGTGCACCCCGGACTCGTGCCAGCAGCTCCTGTTCAGCTTCCTGCAGGGAGACCCAGGCACCATACCCTTACCTCTAGTACCCCATCCCATCCTGCCCTCAGAAGGCTATCAGGACATTAGGATCCAGGGACCCACCCCCCTGCATCCCTATATCTCCCGGCCTACCTGAGCAGCATTGGGACCTAGCACTCTGTCAAAGGTAAGGCATTGTTCCTGTGTGAAAGAATGGGATCAGCAGTGTCATCCATGTCTTTCCTGTAATTACCCTTACCCCACCCTCACCCTACACCATCTCTACCTGAGTCTCCAGGGTGCCTGATTGAAGCAGGTGAAGGTTGCTGGGTCCCTCTAGAAGAAGTGTGGGGTGGCTGGTCTCCTCAGGGCCTGAGACAGGTGGATTTCATATCACCTCTTGTGAGGGAAACTGGGCTCCCAGGACTCTTAAGTTCTGCCCTCAACCTTTGCTTCAGTTTCCCAATCTAAGCTGACCTAGCCCTCCCCTCTCCCAACAGTCTTTCCCAAGATACAGTACCTAGAATATGAATGTGTGGGAGAGGGCATTCTCACCTGATCCCCACCCTAGTTCCACTTCCACCACCACTGTCAGCATGGCCTCTGAGTTGGGAGAGACAGTGAGCACCAGGAAACCAAGCTGCCCTGGCCCTAACCAGCCCCTGTGCTCACCAGCTTTCTATGCTCCATGGCTACCAAGTCTCTCAGATTCTCCTCAATAATTCATGTCCCTAATCAGATGGCTCAGGGGTGGGGAGGGAGGCTCTGGACAAAAACTTATCAAAGGAAATATCAGTCCTCTCTCTTCTGAAAGAGGCAGAACTCCACATAGGGTTCTTTTTTTTTTTTTTTAATGAAAATTTCAGGAGTTCAATTCCCAGCAACTCACTCCTTTAAGATGTTTGGTTGTGGCTAAGAAGTTAACTTTGCCCCCTGTTAGCTCTATTATATATATCAGCATTCTTATAGCACATACAAATATGTAGTTAGAAATATCATCTGCCAGAAGACATGAATAGACACTTCACCAAAGATAATCAGGCAACCAACAAACACATGAAGAAATGTTCACGATAGGTAGATTGCCCAGTCTTCCTTCCATGGAGTGGCTTGTGGGTTTGAACCACCAACCTTGTACTTAGAAGTCAAACACCTTAGGCACTATGCCACCAGAGCTCCAAGTCATTTGTTGTTGTTGTTGTTCTTGTTATGTGCCATCAAGTCAGACCCAATTCATAGCGACCCCTCCTTGGGTTTCCGAGACAGTATCACAACGGAAGTAGATTGCCCCATCTTCCTTCTGAGGAGTGGCTGGTGGGTTTGAACCTCCAGCCTTCTGGTTAGCATTCAAGTGCCTTAGGCACTACACTACCAGAGCTCCTACTCCACGTCATTAGAGAGATACAAATCAAAACAACAATAAGATACCATCTTGCCCCAGCACCAATAGCAAAGTTCAATAAGACAGAAAATAACAAATGCTGACAAGAATGTGGAGAGATTGAGGCTCTCATACACTGCTGATGGAACTGTAAAATGATACAACCACTGTGGAAAGTAGTATGGCGATTCCTTAAAAAGCTGGAATTTTAGAAATACCATTTGATCCACCAATTCCATTACTAGGTATATATCCTAAAGAAGTGAGAACCAGAACAAGGACAGATATATGCACACCCATGTTAATTGCGGCATTATTTACAATAGCAAAGAGATGGAAACAACCTAAGTGCCCATCAGAAGAATGGATAACCAAACTATGGTACATACACACAATTGAATACTATACAACACTAAAGAATAATGTAGAATCTGCAAAACACCACATAACATGGATGAACTTGAAGGACATTATGCTGAGTGAAATAAGTCAACCACAGAAGGACAAGTATTGTATTAGTTCACTATTGTAAAAAGTCAAGGAAAGGTTTATATATGGAAGGAAACTTTCTTTTTTGGTTACCAGGGATGAGAGGAGAGGGGAAGGAACACTGTTAGATAGGTGGAGACAAATATTGACTTGGTTGAAGGAAGGGCAATGTACCAAAAGTGAGTGATCAACACAGTGGCATTGAGGAAGAGAAAGACAGAGAGAAGTAAGTGAGAGATACAGACAACAAAGATGAACCCTTTCACATGTGCAGTACCACGTGGTCAGTGATGGGAAGCCTTGATCTACAGGTGGATAGATGGGTGGACGAGCTGAACGATCGGGTATGTCTAGGCAGCAGGGAGTGTTCCCAGAACCATGTGCAGGGTTAGCAGGCAATGTTTCTACAAGCATATCTGTATGTGATGTAAGAATGTATAGATGCATAGTAGAGCTGACAAGGAACAAAGTTGTGGTAGCTTCATGGCCACAGCCAAATACCCTGAAGGAGTGAGTAGTTGGACCTGTAGGCTCGGGACCATGGTCACAGAGAACACCATGTTCAATTGGCATAACATACTACACAAAAACATTTTCTTCATCCTACTTTGGTGAGTAGTGACTGGGGTTTTAAAAGCTTACAAGTGGCCATCTAGATGCAGCGATGGGTCTCTTCTCATTCACAGTAAAAAGAATGAAGAAAACCAAAGATCCATGGAAACAATTAGTCCAAGGGACTGGTAGACCATGCAGTCTTCAGCCTATATGACCATGAGACCAGAAAAAGTAGATGGTTCCTGGCTACTACTGTCAACCATTTGGAGGGGAATCAGTGCAGGAGATCCTGTACAGAGTAGAACAATGTGGAACAAAATTAAAAATCATAAAAAAAAAGACCAGTTTTGCTGGTCTGATACAGCCTGGTGAGACCCCTGAAAATACAGCCTCTCATTACCTTTCAAATCTGGAACCACACTCAGTCCTGTGGCTTCCAGCCAAACAGTAGACAGGCATATGGAGTGAACATTCACATCCCGTAGATACATTCCTTGGAGAGATCATTGTAGGAGAACAGAGGTGACATGTTTGCACATGGGGACAGCTGCAGGGGGGGCAGTGCATGGGAGGGAAGGACACAGGGAAGAAGTAACTATGGGGAGAAGGTTGGAAGGGAGCTGTTAGGTTACAGGGAATGGCAGTCAATGTCATGAAACAAAATGTGTATGAGTTGCTGTATGGAAAATGAATTTGCTCTGTAAACTTTTACCCAAATCACAATAAAATTTTTTTTTAAAGAAAAATAAAAGAATGAAAGAAATATTATCTGTCAAACCTCCATATGAAAAAAAAAAAAAAAACCTCATTGCCATCGAGTCAATTCTGACTCATAGCGACCCCCTTTGGGTTTCTGCGACAGTAAATATTTACCCTGAAGCATATTGCCCAGTCTTCCTTCTGCAAGTGGCTGGTGGGTTTGAACTGCCAACCTTCTGGTTAGCAGTCAAATGCCTTAGGAACTACACCACCAGAGCTCCTTATGGTCATGGGTATATTCCCTTTCACCTACTCATACCTAATCATTGGCCCATTTATCTCTGTGTCTTTCCATGCATGTGTTATTATTGATAATGCAGTATTGTGTATATAAAAGTATTTACCTTTGTTATCTGTACCTCTTGTGCACCTCTTCATGTCTTCCTTTTCCTTAGTGTTATTGCACTGGTCACTGACTTTTGGTACACTGGGTTTCCCTTCAACCAAATCAATATGTGTCTCTTACTTATGTAGCAATTTTCCCTTCTCTCCCTTCCCATGCCTGGTGTCCTAGACTGGGTTCTCTAGAGAAACAAAACCAGTGAAACTTACAGAAAGAGAGAGAAATTTATCTCAAGGAAATGGCTCACAAAGTTGTAGAGCCTGGCAAGTCCCAAGTCTGTAGGTCAAATGTCAAGCTGGAGGCTTCTGACTCATGCAGCTGCAGGAGCTGATGAACCCAAGATTGACAGGCAGTATAGCAGGCTGCTGGCTCCAGAGGATGATGAATCCAATATTGGCAGGTAAAAGGGCAGATTGTTGGCTCACAGGCTGAGAAGGTAAATCCCAAGATCATCAGGCAATACAGAAGGTCACTTGTTCAAGTCCAGGAAACAGAGATGATGAGCTAGATGCAGGATCAAGATCCAGCAGAAAGCCAGAGAATTTTTGTAGGATGTCCATACATATATTACAATGAGGCCATACCCCTGAGGAAACTCCCTTTCAACTGATTGCTGCTCATAGCAGACTTCATCATGGAGGTGACAACATTGTACCAGAGCTCATCATAGGGGAATAATTAAACCACTTAGACTCATGGTCCAGCCAAGTTTATACACAACCTTAATTATAACACCTGTTTTTATTATTAGGCATCATCCAGTCAGCTCCAACTCATAGCAAACCAATGTACAACAAAATGAAAAACTGCCCAGCCTTATATTCCTTGCTATACCAGAGCCCATCATTGCAGCCACTGTGTCAATCCATCTCGCTGAGGGCCTTTCCCTTTTTCGCTGACCCTCCACTTTACCAAGTATGATCTCCTTCTCTAGGGAATGGTCCCTTCTGACAACATGACCAAAGTAGGTGAGATGAAGTCTGGCCATTCTCACATCCAAGGAGCATTCTGGCTGCACTTCTTCCGGAACAGATTTGTTCATTCTTCTGGCAGTCCGTGATACTTTCAGTATTCTTTGCCAACACCACAATTCAAAAGCATCAACTCATCTTTGGTCTTTCTTATTCATTGTCCAGCTTTCACATGCACATGAGGTAACTGAAAACACCATGTCTTGAGTTAGGCGCACCTTAGTCTTCAAAGTGACATCTTTGCTCTTTAGGACTTTAAAGAGGTCTTTTGCAGCAGATTTTCCCAGTGCAATACAACATCTGATGATTCCTTGACTGCTGCTTCCATTGGAGTTGATTGTGGAACTAAGTAACGTGCAATCTTTGACTACTTCAATCTTTTCTCCATTTATTGTGATGCTACTTATTGGTCCAGTTGTGAGGATTTTCATTTTCTTTATGTTGAGGTGTAGTCTAAGACTGCAGAGTGTAATCTTTAATCTCCATCAGGAAGTGCTTCAAGTCATCTTTACTTTCAGCTAGCAAAGTTGTGTCATCTGCATATTGCAAGTTGTTGATGAGTCTTCCTCCAATTCTGATGCCAAGCTCTTCTTTATACAGTCCAGCTTCTCAGATTATTTGCTCAGAAAAGAGATTGAAAAAGTATGGTGAAAGAATACAATCCTGACACACTCCCTTCCTGATTTTAAACCATGCAGTATCCCCTTGTTCTGTTTGAACGACAGCCTCCTGGTCTATGAACAGGTTCCTCATGAATACAATTAAGTGTTCTAGAATCCCCATTCTTCTCAATGTTATCTGTAATTTGTTATGATCCACACAATTGAATGCTTTTCCATAGTCAATAAAACACAACTAACCATCTTTCTGGTATTCTTTGCTTTCAGCCAAGATCCATCTGATATCAGCAATGATATCCCTCATTCTATGTCCTCTTCTGAATCCAGCTTATATTTCTGGAAGTTCTCTGTCAATACACTGCTGCAACCATTGTTTAATTATCTTCAGGAAGATTTTACTTGTGTGTGATATTAATTATATTTTTTGATAATTTCCACAATCTGTGGGATCACCTTTCTTTGGAATGGGTACAACTATGGATCTCTCCCAATCAGTTGGCCAGGTAGCTGTCTTCTAAATTTCTTGGCATAGAGGAGTGAGTGCCTCCAGTAAAGCATCCATTTGTTGAAAC